TATATATATATATTCATATATTTGTTTGTGTGTGTGTGTAATAATGACGGGAGGCTCTGCTAGAGTTTCACCTCATGGCGAACTCGAGCGTCTCCTTTGATTCTCGTTTTGCTCGCATCGTTCGCAATCGAGGAAGAAGGGTTTCATGCTCTTCGTCAATTTTGTCTTTTTTTTCAAACTCATCTATTTCGCCTTTGCCTTTCGTCTTCTTCGTCGTTTGTCTGCAGCTGCGATTCGTCAGCTGTTGCGGTGTAGGTCTTCGTCGCCCTCTCTGCTGCAGTGTACGTCTATTGCTACGACAACTTCATCGTCTACTCGAACCGATTGCAGATTACAGAGGGGTTTTCCTCTGCCCCGCTCCTTGCTCCCTGTGTTGGTTTCGTCATCTGCTCTCTGCATCATTGTTCTTAATGTCGCACCTTCATCTATTGGTGATGGCTTCAGACAGAACGTATGATGCTGCCTTTGTGAGTGTTCACGCCTCAGACACTCTTAAATCGTGCTCCTTCCCTTCTTCGTTTGCGTCAGCAGAGGACATCAAAAAATCTAGTAGGAAGAATGGGAAGTCAACCATTTTTTTTACAGAAGCATAATGTAATCAGCTTGTTTTCTCCAGTCATCTGAATTTGATCGGGAAATTCATTTATGACCATCCCAAAATGGAACTTATTCATAAGAAATTTGAGTTTATGCACATTGTTAGGGAATGAAAATTTTAACTTTTAGATGGAAGACAGATCCTCATTCAACTAAATAATAAAGTGGATTACACACACTTATTTGCTAGAAAATTAATCTGAATCGATAACAGAGCAATAAATATTTTGAAATTGTCGGTGAATTTTGACCCATAGATGGAACCACTAATCATTCAAGTTTGGATTCGTTTCCCTAGCCTGAAATTTCATTATTTTACTCAAGAAGTATTGTACTTTATTGTCTCGGTCTATATTAAGCCACTCAAAATGGACATTCCTAATTTAATATTTCTCGTCCCTCTAAAGCCATGGTGTTTGTTGACAGGGACATCACTTCAATCGCTTCTGAGGAAATTTGATTAGGCACACAACACCATGGATATTGGCAAAAGATTGTGATTAGTTTTTCCCTTCGTATTATTTGAAATGTCGTATGTTCGGCCACTCTATTTCTCAATGTCACCATCTACACCCCCATCTAAGATCAAAGAAGAAAAGTGTTCCGCCAGAGGCAGTATTTCCTCCTCTTAATCCGCTTCAAGTTATTGACACTAGATCATCAGAAGAATACTGAAGATGTCACTATCCTCGAGGGTAATATGCCGCACAAAGCTCATGATGTAGGACCTCCTATGGAACCCCTTCTCGTGGGAGGAGGGGAAACATTTCATACTTCACTTGCCCTAGAATCAAACTTTGATGTAACGGGTTGCAATACTTCTACTGAGTTTCTACCGCCTAATCAGATAGAGCAAGTTGTTATTGTTATTCAGGCACATGAGGCTCGTGATGTGCAACAGCCTACACCTTTACAACAATCTTTGGACCAATCTACTGATCAGAAGAGTCAATCTACGAATGAGGAATGACAGATTTACACATCCAGGAAGAAAAAGAATGGAGGCCTACTACCAAGCCTCATGGATGATACATTGAATGTTTTGGGTAATAGTAGCAAACTTAACAATTTGTTAGTTGGCTCCCCTCCTAGAACCAGAGGCAAAGGCAGGGGAAAATTGGTTCATTCGCAAGCTAACTGAATCTACGAGTGTTGGCAGACTTTTGGCATACAATTTCTCTGTCTACTTTTTAATCTTGTTTCTTTTTTTTTTTTTGGGTATACATGTATTTCTTATGTATGGTGTATCCCGGGTGGTTAGGGTGCCAATTTGGGCCCTTTCATCAAATTTATTTCCTTTTACTAATATATTCACATTCGGTGTATATATATATATATATA